TTTCCAACAATGGTTTTTGGTTGGAAAAAGCCAACTGCATGAGCATTTCGATAAGGCCGACATGGGAGGCTGAGTCCCATCAGGTTTACTCTGGTCAAAGATGGTTTAACATGCATTCCTGACAGACACGCCTGGATGGTCCGATCAGAGGTCTGTGAGGGAACACAGGCCTCGAACACATGCCACGAGTCCTCAGGTAGTGCTGAGACCATGGCCACCCCCCAGCAGCTCACCTGACTGGCTGGAGAAAGGGGCCAGCAAAGCTATAGCTCACAAAAGGCCCTAACTACCCACAAAGCTCCTGACTGGGGGAGATGTTCAGCCCCACCGATTGGCTGGGGAGCTCTACTTAAACCAGAAAAGAGGCACAGGAAGTTGTCTGAGCAAGCAGAGGAATCATTGGCTGGCTGCTACTATGGACATTTTGCCTACTTGCCTTTCTTCTGAGCCCTGCCTTCCCACCTGTTCCTGGTTCCTGTTCTCCTTATCCCAAATCGGTGTCTGTTCCCAGTTCCCATTCCTACGCCCTACCCCCACACCGATTCCAGCTGTGATCTTTGGCTTGGCACCTGACTGTCTCCAGCACTGCTTGACCCCAGGAAATGGGCAGTAGTTTCCCAGCAGTTTCATGCCAGGGTAGCTGGCCCAGCAGAGCCACCCACTGATTCTGGTCCTCAACTGTCATCCCAATACAGTGACTGCAGAGATGTCTTTGAAAAAAAGAACGCAGACACCTTGCCCTCGCACAGGGACTCAGCTTGCCTGATCAAGCTACAACCAGTAGTAAACATTCTGTTCGGGCACCTCTACGCCATGTTGGAGTCCGATCTAGCCACGCTGCATACCTACTTTCAGGAGAACCTAGCCAAGGGCTTTATTTGTAAATCCATGTTGACTGGTGGGGCACTAGACCTCTGTTTAAAAAAAGATGGAAGCCTCTGACTACGTATGGACTATCAGGCCCTGAATCAGGTCACCATTAGAGACTGATACCTGTTACCACTAATTCCTGAGCTAATGGACTGCATGAGCATCGCCTGGGTATTTACAACACTAGAGTCTGGGGGGCATGCAGCCTAGTACGCATTAGAGCTGGGGACGAATAGAAAACCAGCTTTTGAACGCATTAAGGTCGCTTTAAATATCTCTTGATGCCCTTTGGTTTGACAAACACACCTGTGATGTTCCAGCATTGTATTAATGGTGTGCTCCAAGACATTGTGGACCAATACAGGGTAGCAAACCCGTATGACACACTTATTTTTTCAGACAAGGACGAACACCATAGAATGCACGTCCATTCTGTCCTGAAGAGGTTATGCCAACATGGCCTATGGGCTAAGCTAGAAAAATAGGCCTTTCCTCAGCCCCCATAAAATTCCTGGGGTTCATCCTATCCCCTGCTGGTACTGGCCTGGACGTGTGCAAGGTAACAGCAGTCCTCCAGTGGGTGGTGCCACAGAGCGTTTGTGAACGACAGTGTCTCCTGGGGTTCATGCCAAAGTTCTCAGAGAGAATCACCTCTCTCACTGCCCTGTTCCACAAAAACACCAGGTTCCTTTGGTCTCCCAAGGCCCAGCAGGCCTTCAAGCAATTCAAACTCACAATTACCTCTGCTCCGATATTGGTCCACCCCGACACCTCGCACACCTTCTTCACCACAGTGGGTGCTTCCAATGTGACAATCAGAGCAGCGCTATCCCAAAGTGCTGTTCTCAACAACTGCTACATCCGTGCCCGCCTTCTATTCTAGGAAACTCCTACTCACAGAGCAAAATAATGAGCTTTTGGATAAAATTCCTAGCAATTAAGACTGCCTTTGAAGAGTGGCATCACTATCTAGAAGGGGCCTGGTATCCTGTCCAGGTGTACACTAATCATACAAGCTTGAATATCTGTGCAGTGCCAAGGCCCTCAACCAGTGACAACTTCAGCGGGCCTTTTTTTTTTTTTTTTGCCCTTTGATTTCATAACCTCCTATCATCCAGGAAAAATAGCAAGGCCAACACTTTGTCCTCGAAGGGCAAATATTACACTGACCTAAAGGACTTGAACCCGAAAACCTCATGCATCTTCAAGCCTCATACCTTTCTGGGTGCAGCTTCCCACCAAGAAGATTGCATAACCTACAAAAAAGGTGTATATATTTTCACCCCAGCCTCTGAGGACTACAGTCTTGCAGGTAAGTCATGACTCCCTCCTGGCAGACATTTTGGCTGCTTTAAAACTCAGCATCTCTCTCTCATGTCTTCTGGTGGCCTCACATGTGGGTTACAGTGTAGGCCTGTACAATGTAAATGTCTGCTCCAAAACACTGCACAATAATCCCCTTGGATGCCTACAACCCCTCCACACTCCACCTGACCCCTGGACGGTCACTGCCTTAGATTTTGTAGTAGAACTACCCAATTTTAGTGGGTTCATGACCTTCCTGACAATTGTGAACCACCTCACAAAGATGGCATGCTTCATCCCCTGCACTGGCCTACTCTCCTCTCAGGAAACTGCCTGGCTCTGGGTGGACCAAGTTGCCTGCTTCCATGGTCTCCCACAGCGCATCATCTCTGAGTGTGGTGTGCAATTTATCTCCTGCTTCTGGCAAGAAGTTCTCTGGATTTTGGACATCTGGTCCTGCCTTGCCTCCACCTACCACCCTTGGACAAACGGTCAAGCAGAGAGAACCAGCCACATCCTGCAGCTGTAGATTTAATGCTATGTAAACTTCCACCAGAATGACTGGTCCTTGCTCCTACCTCATCCTGAGTTTGCATACAATAACTCAGAACATGTATCTATGGGTCAAAGCCCCCCCCCACCCTTTTTTTTTTTCAAACTATGTGTTCCACCCTTGGTTATACCCAGAGCTACCTGCAACTTTCCACAACCCAGTAGCCCTGGACTGGATACAACAGATATATCAAACCCAAAGTGACCCAAAAGTTTGCCTGGAGGACACCTAGAAGAGCTAGAAACAACATGCAGACCGATGACAACAGGAGGGTCCCGCCCTTCCACTAGACCAGAAGGTATGGCTCTCAATGAAAAAGCTACACGCAGACAGGCCATCTCATAAGCTGAACTACCAGTTCCTTGGCCCCTACCAAGTTCACCAGCAAATCAATGCAGTCAACTTGAACTCGACTTTCCCGGTTCTCTCTGAATAAAACAGTTTTCCATATTTCACTCCTAAAACCCCACATTCAGGACCAATTCCCTCACCACTCCAAACTGCCCCTCCCACCAGTACGTGTGGGAAGGGCAGTATATTGTCCAGAAGATCCTTGAGGCCAGAATCAGATGGGGTTGACTCGGTTATTTTGTGAATTGGAAAGGCTATGGTCTTGAAGAGCGCTCCTGGGAACTGGTGGACACTGTCCATACTCCTGGACCTGGTCAATGCCTTCCACAAAAACCACCCTGGAAAACCTGGCCCATGACCGCCCAAGGGTGCTCTAGGAGAAGGAATGAGGTGTGAGATGGCAGGCCTCGAACCCGGGCAGTACTCCTCAGACTATGGCCACTACCCAGCCATTCCCCTGAATGACTGGAGAAGGGTGCCAGTAAAGCTCTACCTCACAAAGGGCCCTGCCCACAAAGCTCCTGACTCACAAAGCTCACAAGCCCACCGATTGGCTGGGAAGCTCTATATAAACCAGAAAGAGATACAGGAACTTTTCTGAGCAAGTATTAGAATTTTGACTAGCTGCTACTATGGGAAATAGGACCCTGCCTATTTGCCTGACTGTTGAGCCCCGCCTTCCCACCCGGTCCTGCTTCCTGCCTTCCTGCCTCACTCCAGCCTTGTCCTCCAGCCCTCCACAGAGGCCCCAGCAAACACACAGGGGCTGAATCTCATTCACACCAAGGAGCCTTTCCATCATTTGCTCTGGCAGGGTACATATGCACACTGTAAGGCCCCTTTACAGTGGCACAGCAACATATAGCGACCTTAGTGCAAATGAGACTCAGGCCCAGGGCCTTCAAGACTTGCTGTTCCTCGTATTTCCCAGGCAAAGATGGGCTGCTCACCTCTGCCACAACCGATGGCTTGTCTGGTGGCTCTAGCCCATTGTTGTGTTTGCCAACTGTTCACAAAGAAGTTTGGATTTCCCTGGATTGGTTCGTTTCTACAAAAGTGTTCATCCCTCACTCCTGGGAAACAAAAGTGTTGCACAGAACCAGAGACCTATTTGCACACATTGGCTTGCACACACTGGTTAGCCAGCATGTAGATGACATGTTTGCTCAGTGAGCCCCAGGGGGAGGAACCTACCTTGGGAGAGCGAGGGGCCTGCAGTGATGGGGAGATGCAGCTGCTATCAGGGTGCTGCCAGTTCTGAATGTTAGCTTTAGTCTCAAAGCTTAGCTACGGGCTAAGCACAGCATCTGTCCATGTTCTGGAACCAGCAAATAAAGAGGCACAGACACCATGGCCAGAGAGCAATTCTGGGCCAGGTCCCCAGCTGGCACAAAGAGCCCAATTTACACCGTCTGAGAGCTTGGCTCTCCTATGGAAAAAGGTGAGGCGCCCCTGGCTAATCACGCCCCCACATAACCGAATCCATAAGAAACTCAATTTTATTCACTTCATTTTTTTTTCCGTTTCGGAAAAAAATTGCATGAGTTAATTTTCACTCACGAAGGAAACCGTGGCCCCTTTGTCATTGGCCCGGGGTGGATTCTGCTGCGCTGACTATCATTGAGTTCCCCTGCACGTGTGGGGGCATGGCTGCATGCATCCTGACTGGCACAGTCCAATTCTCCTTGAGCAAACCAGCCCCAGCAGTGGGATTGCGGGCACAGGGGGCATGCTGGGCTTGGCTGCTGGTTTCACACACAGCACAGGGCCCTGGGAAAATCAGGAAGTGGTTAATACCTCCTGAGGGGCAAATGAGGCCGCAAAGCACCACCGCTGCCCCATCAGACAGTGTGAGGGGGCCAGCAGGGGCAGAGGGGACTTGCACTTGGTGTTGGCCACCGAGGGGCGCCACTGGTATTACCTTGTCAGGGAAGGGCTGCTGTAGCTGATTGACGTCCAGTGGTGTTATCAAAGGGATGTTGTCAAAGCTGTCATCACTGCTGCCAGCGCCCTGCTCCTTGTCCGGCTTCTCGCAGAGATTGCTGCCCAGTTTCACCATGGTCAGATAACGCTGCTGAGACGGAAGGAGGGAGAGGCAACAGGTCAGACAGTTGCTCAGTTTCCAGAGACAGTTGCGGGTTACCCGTTTTGTCAGGCCGTGATCACTGAAGCATCCCTCTGTGTTCCCAGAGAGGGGCTGGGTCCATACGTTCAGATCTGGACCTAGTGCCACCAGGTTCAGAGCTGGGTGGATCGGTGACTTTGTACCATGCCTGTTGCCAGCTGTTTGCATATCCGAACAGCAGTAAGAAGACTCCACCCACTGCCAGCCTCCCCTTCCCAGCCCCTTAGCTAAGTGCCCAACACTGACGCCCAGTGCCTGGGGAGCAACTGTGGCTCATGGAAGGGGTCTAGTCGGAGTGACTGGGGCAGAGCAATCCCTCTGCCTCTTGCTGCTTGCACAGCTCCCCTACAAAGAAACCGTAACACTGATGGAATGACGACACTGCATTCCTTCCAAGACTGAACACTGCTGGCAGGCTGAGAACAGGAAATTGCAGGCTGTATGTAACGGCACCTCCGGTCATTCCTGCCATGACATTATGAATGTGCTACCGGTCAGCTGCCCAAGCCTCCCAAAATCTCTCTCAAAGCCATAAAAACACACACCGCACAGGCGGAGCGCAGCTCTCCTGAACTAGCCAGAAACAAACTACAGCTCAGAACCAACCTGACTGGAGCAAGGGCTCATGCATGCATGTGCCAGCATCTCCAAGGGTTCAAAACCCATCAGTCGGGTCCCAAAGTCAGGGTACTGGGTTAAAACCAGGAGGTTTGTTTAATAGTCAATGCTGGGTTTGTTTTGTTGCCCCTAGGACACACTTGGGTCATGCTTTCCTACGCAATCAGAAGGGCTAAAACTTTTTTAAAAGTGAAAGCTGGGATTCCTCTGACTCCAGAGCTGGGGCTTTACGAAAAGCACCAACTACTGCAAGACTTGTGACAACATTCCCAAAGTTGGCAGGACGGGAAGTCCATGGATTTTGGCAGGAGCTTAGCAGGTGCTCTGAGGGCAGCGTCAGGCCCCTAGAGCAGAACCAGCCCATACATGGTAAGTATTTTGAGATAATTGGCAATCAATCCATGGGATGTGCAAAAGTCCAGTGAGCACAAGCTCTTCAGCACTTAGATACAGAGGCCAGGCTTGCAGGCTGCTCAACCTCTCCAGTTATTATTCAAAAACTCTGCTGAGGGTTGGTCACTTTCAAAAATCTGTCTGCTCCATTGAGGTGCTTTAAATAGGAGCTGTCAGATGCTGAACTCTTTGAAAATCTGGCTCCAGGTGCCTAGATATGGGTGGGCTTCGGAGCCTGACTTTAAGCATTCTGCTTTGCAAGTGGTCCGCTTTATTTTCAGCATGGTTTTGTGATGTCGTTCAGAAATGTGAGCAGCTCAAAGAGACAAGATCAGCCCCAAAGAGCTCTTTCAAAACACCTGACTTTTTCAGCCCTAGGATGCAAACACCTCAGAGACATGGTGACAACAGATGTCAAAGAGATGAGGATCGAAGAGACTGGGGCATGGGACAGTTATTCCTAGATTCCAAGGCTAGAAGGGACCACTGTGACCATCTAGTCTGACCTCCGGCATAACACAGGTCAGAGAACTGCCCCACAATAATTCCTAGAACAGTTCTTTAGAAAAACATCGTGATTTAAAAATTGCTAGTGATGGAGAATCCACCACGACTCTTGGTACATTGTTCCAATGGTTAATTATCCTCACTGTTAACAATGTATGCCTTATTTCCAGTCTGAATTTGTCTAACTCCAACTTCCAGCCATTGGATCATGTTATACCTTTCTCTGTTAGATTGAGGAGTCCATTATTAATATTTGTTCCCCATGTAGGTACTTACAGACTATAATTGAATCACCCCTAACCTTTTTGTTAAACTAAATAGATTGAGCTCCTGGAGTCCATCACTATAAGTCAGGTTTTTTAATCTTTGAATCATTCTCGTGGCTCTTCTCTGAACCCTCTCCTACTTTTCAACATCCTTCTTGAATTGTGGGAACCAGAACTGGACACGGTATTCCAACATCGGTTGCACCAGTGTCAAATATGAAGGTAAAATAACCTTGCTACACCTACTCGAGATTCCCCTGTTCATGCATCCAAAGATCGCATTAGCCCTTTTGGTCACAGCATCGGACTGGGTGTTCGTACTCAGCTGATTATCCAAACCTCTACCCCCATGTCTTTTCCAAACTCAGGTCTTGTCTACACGAGTGAGGGTATTGCCATGTAACTATACCAACTAGCTAGACCATCATTACTATACTGGCAAAAGTTCTCAGGCTACACCTGGCCTCAGGCTGTGCCCTGCCATTGTCCATGAGTTTTTAAAGCCCTAAACGAAAGCCGTCCATTCCCACCTCCAATAGCACAAACCATCAGTCATAGGGTCAGTCCTTAAATAAGAAAAGAACAAAAAAAAAGGAGGGCCAGTTACAGCTGTTTGAACACCTTCGCCACACATTTCCTGACCTTCTGGGATTCTTTCCCATTTAAGATTAGCTCTGAATGCCCAGGGTTTCTGATTCTTGTTTAGGGAATAATTGCAATGTCCCTGGGAAAGTGTTCATCATTAAATCACTAATATGTACTCTCAGCCCTCACTCCCACAGAACATTCCCTCTCCTGGGAATGGCTTAAGAGATCAGGATGGGGAGCGGCTGGGGCACAGAACAGCCCCCAGTTCAGAGCCCCGCCATAATTGCTATTGTCAGTTATTTGTTCACAGGCAATTTCCATACATTCCTCCTGCCTGAGCAGTGCTCAGGCCTCCCAACCCTCCCATTCTACTGACACAGGGTCCCAGCGGCTCTCCCTGTCTTTCTGTCCATTTCCTTCTCCTTTGTCATTGGGGGAGTGTCACAGGGTCAGTCCAGAATCAGATTCCACTCTAGGAGAAAGAGAGCAGCTTGTGCCAGGTGAAGTCATTCATCTGTTTATGTTCCTTCCTTCTGATTCCTTATAGGGCCTTATGGGATGTTTGATAACGAATCCCAGCTGCTGGCTCTGGTGTACGGCAAGACAGGAAGATGGGACAAGGGCCTGGCTGGGAAGGCTATTTAGCATCCAGGGTCACATCCAGCACCCAGAACTTCTCTGACCCATGAAGCTCAGCAGTGACCCGACAAGCCACACAACCTCTCTAGAGTCAGAAAGTGCTGGATGTGTGCTCCCTGCGACCCAGCACTGTGCATGTACCAGCTGGGGTCCCACTGTGCATGTACCAGCCACAGACAGGGGTGCCAGGAGCAGGGACCCCTCATTAACCAGCTATATCCACTTCCCGAGTGCATCAGGCATCGCTATTAAACCTGCCCCCCGGGCCACATGCTCTTTCTGTTTACAAGACCTTCTTTGTAATAAACCTCAGTCCTCCCCTGTACTCCACAATTATAAACAGCCTCTGCGCCATCTACACAGACTGATGCATGATGAGAGAGTGATTCCTTCTGCCCTGTACCTCTGCACTAACGTATGGCACAGAGAGGGCCGGTGTAGTTGGATTGGTAACTGGTTAAAAGACAGGAAACAAAGGATAGCAATAAATGGCCAGTTTTCAGAATGCAGAGAGGTAAATAGTGGCATCCCCCAGGGTCTGTACTGGGCCTAATCCTATTTGTGACAGGGTCAGGTCAGATGGCTGTAGGAGAGTAATTTTTTTTTCCAGGGGAGAGCGTGAACGCAGTCCCCCACTACCACAAATTATGCAGTCGAGTTTCCCGCATTTGGGGAAATCGCAGTGGTCAGCACACCCGCAGTGAGCCTCATCCTGGGAAAACCACCTTCATGATCATGGTGTCTCCCCTGCCAGGTAAGTATAGAAGACAGATATATTAGCCCCAGACTAAGTAGGTCCCTTTTCCCTGGGTAAGGTAACAGGGAAGGTTCCAGAACAATCAGGAACCTTCTGCAGATAATTAAGACAGGCTGATTAGAACACCTGCAGCCAATCAAGAAGCTGCTAGAATCAATTAAGGCAGGCTAATCAGGGCACCTGGGTTTTAAAAAGGAACTCCCTTCAGTTTGTGGTGTGCGTGTGAGGAGCTGGGAGCAAGAGGCACTAGGAGCTGAGAGTGAGAACGCGGACTGTTGGAGGACGGAGGAGTACAAGCGTTATCAGACACCAGGAGGAAGGTCCTATGGTGAGGATAAAGAAGGTGTTGGGAGGAGGCCATGGGGAAGTAGCCCAGGGAGTTGTAGCTGTCGCACAGCTGTACCAGGAAGCACTCTAGACAGCTGCATTCCACAGGGCCCTGGGCTGGAACCCGGAGTAGAGGGTGGGCCCGGGTTCCCCCCAAATCCTCCCAACTCCTGGTCAGACACAGGAGGAGTCGACCTGGACTGTGAGTTTAGAAAAACGGCCAAGCTGAGGGCTGCCATGAAGCTCCAAGGCGAGCAAATCTGCCAATAAGCGCAAGACCCACCAAGGTAGAGCAGGAACTTTGTCACATATTCAACATATTCATAAATGATCTGGAAAAAGGGGTAAACAGTGAGGTGGCAAAATTTGCAGATGATACAAAACTACTCGAGATAGTTAAGTCCCAGGCAGACTGTGAAGAGCTACAAAAGGATCGCACAAAACTGGGTGACTGGGCAACAAAATAGCAGATGAAATTCAATGTTGATAAATGCAAAGTAATGCACATTAGAAAACATAATCCCAAATATACATACCAAATGATGGGGTCTAAATTAGCTGTGATCACTCAAGAAAGAGATCTTGGAGTCAGTGTGGATAGTTCTCTGAAAACATCCACTCAATGTGCAGCGGCAGTCAAAAAAGTGAACAGAATGTTGGGCATCATTAAGAAAGATAATAAGACAGAAAATATCCCTATTATATTGCCTCTAAATAAATCCATGGTATGTCCGCATCTTGAATACTGTGTGTAGATGTGGTTGCCCCATCTCAAATAAGATATATTGGAATTGGAAAAGTTCAGAAAAAGGCAACAAAATGATATGGGGTATGGAACGGCTTTCATATGAGGA